AATTATTTGTTATAAATCTAAAAATATAATTTATATGTTTAAATTTATGTATTTATAAAAGTTTTAAATTTTTAAACATAATATTTATTTATACATTATTTATTATAAATTTTAATTATATGTAATAAATATTTAGTATGTATATTGTCCAAATTAAAATCTTAGTTAAATAATTATAGGTGTATGAATTTTAGGCATTTGTTTAGATATCAGTTTTGGTTAAAATATTTTATAATTTTTTATATTCAATGACCGAATCCAACCCAATTCTAATTTGTTTGGATTGTTGATTGGATTAATTATATTCATAAATTATTAAATCTAAATCAATTAAACTCAAATTATTTTAGATGGGTTAAATTATGGACCAGCAAAAGGCGGATTAGATTGATTTTATTTGTGTCATGATCCCACTCAAAAATTGATCAAACCATTTTTTAAAACTGAATATGATCAAGATCCAATATATAAAAGACAAGACCGGGTCAATTTGATATTTTAAAATAATATATTAATATTAATATTATGGATAGTTAAATTATAGAATAAAATAAGTATATAAAACAAATTAAGACAGATTTGTACAACATTTTAAAATAAATAACATAATTATAAATATGATATTATATTATACAAAATATTATCTATTAAATAAAATAATTTCAATATTAATATATAATTATTTAAAATAATATAAAACATTAAATCAAGTTAATATGATCTTAAGGATAATCCAAGTCTATTATTTTTAATAAAAAAATTAAGTCAAAATTTTAATTTTGAACTTGTCCAATCTTTTTTTGGGTTGGGTCACGTTGAATCTTACTTGTCCCTAGGTTAAAAAAATAGGTTTGATAGAATTTAATCCAAATTGAACTTGCATAACTCTACTTGGGTTGGTCTGACGAGAGATTCAACATGAATATTATAATTCAATTATATTATTAATTTTTTTTTATAGGCAAAAAAAATTTATTAAAAAGGAGTACAAGAGATATTCTAGCCCATAAGCAACTACAAAGGTCAAAGAATACTTGTAGCAACTAAAAAATACGGTGTCTATTTTACAGCCACAGTAATAGAAGATACGATATCTAAAAAGCAAATACTAAGTGATTTACCACAAATTTCACAAAAGGACAGTGTTTGAAATACCCTTAATGATGACAGTATATGATCTCCCACAAGTATAATATTGCTCGTAGCTTAGGCAAAATCAGCTAAAGAATCTCATATGTCCATAAAATTTAGACAGACAGCCGGGGAACCAACCCAAGATGAGTAGGGGTATTGGAAAGAAAGGTCCTTAGCCTTAAGCCACTTCCAAGAACGCAATTGAATCAACTTCAATAAGTTAGAATGTAGTATGACCTTATCAGAGAAGATAGCCTCATTCCTAGCAATCCAAAGAGACCATAAAACAGTCATCCACACCGTTGACCATCTTAACCGATCCACACTAGAGCAAATAGGTAAACCCACAAACTGTGCTAAGTGAAGGTGGCAAGAATTATGGAGCACACTTTATACCAAACCAATTTAAACACAACATCCATATGCAATAAGCAAAAGGGCATTCAAAAAATAAATGGGACACTGTCTCTAGTTCATGGCCACACCAAATACAGAATCCATCTCCAGCTTATAGAATCCCTCTTTTAATTAAGTTTTGTTTTGTTGGTAATTTATTAAGCATAGATCGCCAAGCAAAGCCAGACACTTTTGAAGGAAGAAACTTGGACCATAGGTAATTATATAGAGGAAATTCACCGAATATGTCCTTATTCACAATGACATTGTAAGCTGACCTCACAGAATATTGACCATCTTTTGAAGCTGACCAGACCCAATGATCATTGACTCCCTGTTGCAGGTGCAAGAAATCAATGTCAACTTGCAATTGTTGTAATAGTTCACCTTCCCATTGAAACAGGTTTCGCCTCCAGGACCAGTTCCACACTTCGTCCCCATCTACTGTTACCCTCAAATCAGCAATGGTGGCATCTTTATTAGTCGCAATAGAGAATAGCCTTTCATATTTTACACAAAAAGCTGTTGGGCAACACCAAGCCTCTTGCCAGAAAAATGTATCTGTCCCATCCCTTACAACCTTATTACACCTATTAGCAAACCAATCATCTGTAATTAACTCTCCCTTGTCAATTCTCCATAAATCAACCCACCAATTAGAACCCTTACCCACCTCATCTCTCTCTCTCTCATGTATATTCCCATATAAAGAAGCTAACCCCCTATTCCACAACCTCCCCTTATCTATTAAAAGCCTCCACCTCCATTTCCCTGCCAATGCAAGATTAAAACCCCTTAAATCTTTGACGCCTAATCCCCCATGCCTTATGTCCCTACACACATCATCCCAAGCAACCCAAGCAATTTTACTATGATCTTCATCTCCACCCCAAAGAAATCTCCTAAATAAAGATTATAGTATAGTAATAATACCTGTCGGAACCTTGAAGAAGGAGAGATAGTAGATCGGGATGGAATGCAGAACGAATTTCAAGAGAACACTTCTGCCACCAAATGATAAATTTTTGCCTTTCCACTTAGACAATCTCTTTTGTACCTTACTAATTACTGGATCCCACATCTTTAGCAATCTTGGATTTGCACCAATCGGTAGACCCAAGTATGAAGAGAACCCACTGTACAATTTAAGAAAAGAGTCATTCCATCTAACAACTCTCTATCCACATTGATTCCATATAGTTTACTCTTATGGAAATTGACTTTAAGCCCTGCAACCACCTTAAACAACTGAAAAATAGCCTTAATAGCCCAAATATTTTGCAATGAAGCCTCTCCAATGACTAAAGTGTCATCAGCATACTGCAAGTGAGAAACGAGCACTGCCTCTTGACCAGCCTCATAGCCAACAAACACTTGGAACTCAACTGCCTTAGCCATCAAAGCATGGAATCCCTCAGCAACAATAAGGAACAAAAAAGGTGCAAGAGGATCTCCTTGTCTCAACCCCCTCCCAACTCCAAACTCGCTAGAAGGGCTACCATTCAACAGGACGGAGACTCTAGCAGTACTCAAACATTCTTGTATCCACATTCTCCACTTAGAAGGAAACCCCATCCTCTCCATAACGAACTGCAAGAACCCCCAATTAATTGAGTCATAAGCCTTTTCAAAATCCACTTTAAAAAGCAAATTACTTGTATGCTCTCTTTTGATCTCCTCAACAACTTCATTAGCAATCAAAATCCCATCCAAAATGGATCTTCCTTTTAAAAAAGCTGATTGACAATCTGAAATGACGCTACTAATCACCTTACGCAACCTATTGGCCAACACCTTTGCCACAACCTTATAAATGCAACCTATTAAAGAAATTGGTCTGTACTCTTCCACTTTCTGCGGGCTATCAGTTTTTGGGACAAGCACAAGGAACAAGCTATTTGACCCCTTCACCAATTTGCCATATATATAGAATTCATGCACCATAGCTAAAAATCAGTTTTGAGAATATCCCAAAAATCTTTAATAAAGTTAAAATTATACCCATTTGGTCCTGGACTTTTTGCACCTTCACAATCCCATACAGCTTCCTTCACCTCCTCCTCAGAGAAAGGCAAAATCAGCATAGTAGCATCTGTCTCTGATAATTGCTGGAAGTGAACCCCTTCAATACCTGGTCTGTTATGCATCTTCTCCTCAAAATGTTGTTCAAAATAACTCTGAACCCCCTCTTTCATTGTAACTGGCTCACGATACCACACATTATTTATCAGTAAAGCTCTAATCTCATTTTTCAATCTTCTCTTGTTGATATAACCATGAAAAAAACTGGTATTAGCATCCCCCTCTCTCAACCACTTAAGCCGTGACTTCTGGCAGAGCAAACTATCTTTCATGGACATAAGATGGCAAAATTGTGCACGCCATTCTGCCCTTTGAACAACCTCTTCCTCTAATAAGCCAGACTCTTCAGCCTTAAGGTCTAGCAAATCACCATTGTTCATAGCCTCTGCAATTTGATGATCCAAATGCCCAAAGGACACCTTATTCCATTCCCGAAGAAAAGCCTTCAAAGATTTGAGCTTTTCTTTCAAGACAAATGCTGCTCGACTTTCAACCTGTAGATTCTTCCATTTTTCCTTTACAAAACCTTCAAAAGTAGGGTTGAAACGCCAACAATCGAGGACCTTAAAAGGTTTTGGTCCCCAATCAATAACCTCGGACTTTAATAACACAGCACAATGATCAGATATGCCTCTTGGCAACCCCCATTGCGAAAATAAGTTTAAATTAGAGCAAGGTACAATTTCATGTAAGCTCAAAGCCAAATTATCAACCTCTTTAAGGATTTTGGTGGATTTACAGATTGTGTATCTCATTCTTAACGCAAGCCCACTTAAAAAGATATAAAAGTCTGCATAAAAAAAATATAAAACATGTAAAATAATTTGGATTATATCTTAACTAGTAAGAGTAAAGGAGTTTAACTAGCTGTGCCACCTTTGCAAAGTATTGGAAAAAATGATTAAATCCATTTATAATTTTTATAATTTTGTGAATATGTAATTTTGATTCCTAAAATTGTTATTACAAATTTAATCATCTAATTTATAAAATTAACCAATATTAATCAATCATTAATATACTATCCCAAATTAAATAAAAAATACTCACATAAAACATAAGTGACATTACTAATCAGTTAGTTAGCCACACTAACTACTACATAAATATTAATTTTTATTTCAATTAAAACTACAGTATATTAAAATATTTTTATTTTAAGTTTTAATACCGTTATTTCTTTACATGATACATTACTTATGTGTTACTCACGTTTTACTTTATTTTTTTAAATTTTAAATAACATACTGATGTTAGACCGCTTAATTTTAAAATCTACCAAAGTTTGGGACAAAAATTTCAGATTTTAAAAAAGAGAAAAAGTGGATTTAAAAACAAAACTCTAATTTTTTTGCTTTAGATGTATGACCCGACCCGTTTAAATCTGCCAAAATTGAAACGTTTCTCATGGCTAAGGAATTGACGTGGAGTAACTTTTGTCCCTCTTCGCGAGAGTGGAAATGAACACTTCGTCGGCGTTGCCTCTGCTACCAGATACGTCGCCGTCTACGGTGAACATGTATAGAATCAGCAAAGTTGCGGACCGGTTGGCTTGGCTTGCTCAAACTGGCAGCCGAGGCGACCACCCTTACGAATTTTATAATCTCTGTCTCTCCCTCTCTCGGTATTTCCTTTTTTTTTTTTTTTTTTTAATTTTATCTGCTTCTTCTACTTTTTGTGACAGATTCCAAATGTGCTTCTGTTTTAGCTGCAATCGGATCGTGCTTCACTGTTCTTAGGTCTTAAACAGAAGATTTTATAGTATTGCATGTCGTGAACTAGTGGTGAAAATTTACACTCGAAATCAGCCGTGTTCTTTACTTTTGTTTTTTTTGTCTTGGGCCGGCTTAGATAAATTTCCGTAGAAAAATTATGAAAGAAAAATGAAACAAGCTTCTCTATAAACTAAAAATTATAGCAAGTTATAAATAAGTTTTGGGGGAATTTACTACGAAGACATTACTCATTAGCTTATACATAAATTAATTTTTAGCTTAAGGACAAACTTATTTAATTTTTTATTCAAACTTTTCTCCTTAAGGAGAAATTTATCCAATGAGACCCATTGTAATACCTAATTTGTCATAACGTTTAAAAAACGATATGGGGACGTTGTCGTATGGATGTTATGCTTGTGTCTTGTTGACTTAACGATGGTATAACAAATGTGATGTGTTTATTTATTAGTAATTTACTTTTGACATTCTACAGAGGCATTGATTATGCAGTTGCCAATGGCGAAAATCCGGCCAAAGCTCATGATCTGCCTCTACTGGTGAAACAGGTTACTTCCATTGCTGCCTCTTCTTCACCACTTTTTTAAACGGGATCAGGAGGAAATTTCATCATTTTTTTTAATTGTTGTGCTCATATGTTTGAGGCTTTTATTTTTCCCCCTTTCCGTGCAGATTTGTAAGCTAAAGAATGATGAATTATCACAAGCAGCTATGATGGTGTTGATGATATCTGTAAAGGCAGGTTCATTTTTCCATGTTGCTGCTCATTGCTATCAGTAACTTGTTGAATATTCATCAGCTATGACTTATGAAATCTCTGTTTTTGAGTTTTGGGAAGAAGACCACTTTATCGGTCTCAAGGAACATACCTGGTGTTGAATACATGACAATTTGGTGAAAGTTTTCAGGCATTGTAACCCATTGCATGATGCTCTTGCATTTTGACAAGAATAATTGTGTTTAAGCTATCAAATCATGAACTTTAAGCAGATACCTGAGTCTGAATACATTTTAGTTCTTCAAGAATTTTGATTCTTATATATCATGTATCACTATGATCAAAATGAGTTTCATACCAGCTTTTCTTTGCTTATCTATAATGTGTTTCTCTAAAAACATTCTGAAGTTATGCAGCATGACTTTTCTTAAGTTTTGGATTTCCAACTGACTTTTCACTATTGTAGAGTGCTTGTGAAATTGGATGGTTCCAAACAAAAGAGTCAGAAGAACTTGTTACTATTGCTGATGAGGTTTGCTTATATGTTATGTTTTCTTTTTTGCTATGTGCCGTGTTCTAGTTGTCATGATTTTTACAATCATCTTTCTACTGTAGATAGGAAAGGTCTACAGCAGCTCGGGGATTTTAAATGCTGGACCTAGTTCTTGCAGTTCTGCGATACCAACAATAATGGAGAAGTATGGTTCCATGAACTTATACATATCTTCACTTGCGTCATTTCTTTTTATTTTTTAAATAAACAACAATATTTTGTATCAACTACCACAGTAGACATGAATTGTAATCAGGAAAAATGAAAGGAACCATAAGAAATAATGCGTTTGAATTCATCACTTTGTTCAATATGAAATATTTATAATTTGTGTATATGTGGATTTTCATGCAGGTTCTATCCAAAGATAAAATTAGGTCCAATACTTACGTCAATTGATGCCAAGGTTGTTCCTTATGATTTGTGAATTCAGGTCTTATTTCATGTTGAGAGCATATTAATATTATTTTACCTGCAATGCAGCCAGGATATGGAGCTTTTGCTGTTGACTTCCATATTACGAAGAATAAAGTTCTAAAAGATAAAATTGTAAGAATTGCTTGAATTGACTTGTTTTGTTAAACATGATTCATGTGACAAAGTCCTAAACTTGCTGTTCACCTAAACAGTCTGGATACACACACACAAACAAATGAATTTTCAATGTTGATTTTTAATATTCTTTTTAACTCTAGTGTGGCTTTATTTCGAGTATCACAACTTCTCAAAACTTGGAGCAAAGATGAACTTGAGGATCCTCTACTTTTGGGATATAGTATTTCATGGTTCATTTATACAAAAGCCTGGTGTTGCATGCCTTAATTTAAATGTTTCTATACTTATAATTATAATTTGGCATCTGTATTGTTTCCTTTGTACTTTTGCTTATAATAATTTCCTCTGTATTGGGAAATTTGGGAATGACTGACATCCATTCACCAGCTTTATGGGTAGTGCCTATGTAAATAAGTAATTTAGGATTGAATAGCTGTTCTCTTTCTTATACATATCCAGGTAGTATCTGTAATTATTAGAATATAATGTATTGCGCCCATATTTCCTATTTTGATTTGTAGGATTGACCTATGCATTCATGTTAGAGTTTGTACCTTTTGGGAATCGTTGAATAGTATTTATAAACATCTTTCATTCTCTCATATTTCAAGATGTTGCTAGCTTCGTTATTTGATCCAAGTTTGAGCATATTTTAGTTTCTTTTGTACCTTCAATTACAATCCATTTTCATTTTGGTATCAATGATAGTATATAATTGATATTTTTATTTTGTTTATGATTTTATACATGTAAGTTATATAGCATATTTCTATTTGCAGTATTTATTGGTGGCACAAACAGATAACATTGAGACATCTACATGCCTCATAAGTCCTCAGCAAGTGAAGTATGGTTTCTTTTAACCTTTTTAAATGTGTGGAAGGGTTCTAATTTGATACTGACTGACCTTTTTATTGCTTATCTTGTAGTTTTCTCCTCAATGGAAAAGCGGTAACCAATAGAACTAATGTTCAAATGGTCTGTTGTATATTTTCTCATACATTCTAAAACATTTAATTTAGACTTTTTTCTAGGGTGTGACATCAACCTTTATCTATATCATTTTATTACTCAGGATCCTGGACCACAGATGCCAACTAATGTGACTGGTATGCTTAAATTTGGGACAAATCTTCTTCAAGCTGTGGGCCAGTTCAATAGTAAGCATTTAAAACTAGTGTTCTTTCCTGTTGTCCTAGTAGCTTTCAATAAAAGCAATTATGTATCTTACTCTGTTGTAACCATTATCATTGTGAAGGTCATTATATTGTACTTGTTGCCTATTTGAGTGTTGCATCTTTGCCTGAGGATCCAGTTCTTCAAGATTATTTGCAGCCTACTGTTACCTCTGTTGATTCAGGTATAATTTGGATATTTAGGTGAACTGCATGCTAAAAAAAGCTCTACATCTTATTCTTATTAGTCCACCATTGACAATTATTTCTTATCCTTTTGCCATTTGGACCATTCATTCTTATTATTCTGCATCTTTCTCTCTTTATATCGATGTATGTATAGATTCAGATATTATCGAGGGGGCTTCGCAAATTTCACTTAATTGTCCAATAAGGTATGTTGTATCTATTCCCAACATCCTTTCTTTTCCTACTATAAACCTCACTAATGTGCCTATCAACTGACCTTAAATGTGAAGAAAATGGGAGTTAGTCATTTGTGCTCTTTTCCTTTGTATCTGTTCACAATTAAATTGATGATCTAATAATGTTTTGTTAATCTAATTTCTTTTGGCTATATTTGTGACTCTTGGAATTTTAGTTGGAACTATTTTATGTGTTCATTATAGAAAGTCAAGAGGTAACCAGTCGTCTTGTTAGTTGATTTCTAGTATTAATTATATAGTTTATTCAGTCAGTACTCAGTGCTATTTTTTTAATTTCACTTTAGTGGAACTTGTGCCCTATTTCCTCTTCTGGTTGATGTTCAGCTTTCTTCATCCTTTCCCTGTTGGGATATATATTGGAGTATAGTTTTACTCTTATATGTACAGCAGTAGTGTTGGATCTTGCATTTTTCTGTTGTATTAGTGCTGTTAGTCATATTTATTATTTTCTGTTATAGGCCCAATAGCTGTTATATTAGAAGTTGTTGTCTCTATATAAACTACATGTACTCTCTCTATTCAATGAGTTGAATACATATTTTACATTTTGGAATTATTCTCTCTCAACTTCTCTCTATATCTATATCATGGTATCAGAGCTCATCAATCCTTTCTTTCTTTCTTTCTTGATCCTCTCAAATCTCAATGCCTCCCTCATGGCTGATTCTTCTCCACCACCACCATCTCCTCCATCAATCATTACTGTTCATCCAAAGAACCTGTCTCCATCTCTCAGCTTCTCCCACACCATATCAGAAAAATTGGACACCAAGAACTACCTTCTTTGGTTCCTGCAGGTTGAACCAGTGATCAAGGGATACAGACTTCATCACTTTTTGGTCAACGCACAAATTCCTCCAAAGTTTCTTTCTGATCCTGATCGTGATGTTGTACAAGTTTTTGAACCTTACCTTGCCTGGAAACAACAAGATCAATGATTATTTATGTGGCTGTCTCGTCCAAAGTACTTAATTGAATGTCTATGATATTAATAAATCTAAAATATTAAATATGTTTTATTCTGAAGTTTTTCTTTTTATACCGATTTTAATTTTCCTAAATGATGTTTGCTATCAAATAACCATCGTAAAGAATATTATATTTCTATTTATTAATCCAGAACCCAGCAGTCCGCTTCTTAATGTTTTCTTGTCCCAAAACCTCAATACTTATCTCAGATTTTATTTTAATGTATTACTTTCTAACTTTGATCTTGTATTTGGCCACTGCATTGTTGAATGATTGATAATTGGTTTTGCCTGATACGATTCTCCCTGCTAGATAATTTTTTAGTTCATGTACTTTCACATATGCTTTCTGAGCAACAATTTAGTTGGACTTTTAAGTTGTTAATTAAAGTTTTAGACAATTCTAGTATTTTTAACATTGATTTTTAGCATAAAGCCATTAGCTATCATCTTTTGAAGTTTTTTTTTAGTTTTGCATGTATGATTTCTTCTGTTATATTTATTCTGTGGCTCATTGCCTTTATATTGGAATGCTATACTCTTTTGAAATTATGTTAAGATCATTTGTCCAATTATCTCCAAAAGTACATTGGGTTTTCACTTTTTTATGATAATCCTTCTCTTTTCTTAACGTTGTTTTTAATAAAAGTTGATGGTCTAATGTTTTATTTGTACCAACAGCTTTACACGTATCAAGACTCCTGTTAAAGGGCGTTCATGCAAACATTTCCAGGTGACTATTCTTGCATTGGCATCACCTAATGTGGAGAATGCTGGGGGAGGGTTTTCTAATTAATTATACTCTGTTTCTTACCCCAAGTATTAAAATTGGTTTAGAAGTCTATTGTATGCAGTAAAGAATATTGTCACTGCAACTTATGCCATTTTCTGGTATTTGGTCTATACAAAAGTACTAAATTTTGGTTAAATGTGATAGGCCAAGTTCTGATAGGCCTATGAAGGTTTATGTCGGAAAAATAAGTCTGCTATAATTTATGTATGAGATTTTTTTTTTAATTTTTTATGTGGCAGTAGACAGTTATTTTGTACAAGTATCAGTTATTGTTAGTCAGTTATTTATTAGAGAATTCTGGTTCTGCCCAAAATAACAATCATTAGTAATATATAATATTTGTGTGTGCAATCTCGAGTCCAACAAATTTGGTCCAACCTGTTGGACAAGGATGGACACAAGAGTGGAAGGATATTCACACAGATTGTAGAGATCCAATTCTCACCGTGAGGAACAAATGGAAAAAATTGGGAAGTGTCTTACAAGATATTCACACAGATTGTAGAGAATTGAGAGAAAAGCTTGACAATTTGGGTTTCATTATACCATTATTGAAGGATTTGGCTTAAGCAAAAAGAGATAGACAATGGTGGTAGGAAGTTCAAACCATGTTAGAACTACTCAACCACATGATCATATGTGCACTATGTGTTCTTTTTTCCAACTTTGAAGATAGGAGTTTAGTGGAGTCTTAAAAGGCTCTTCAGAAAGTTGAATTGCCCCACGTTGATGGAAGTGATCCTATCTGGTGGATTGCTAAGGCTGAGAAGTTTTTTGAGATTCAGAATACTAAACTAGAAGTGAAGTTTTTTGACATCTGTATGGAAGGAGTTGTTGCTCATTAATTAGGTATTTAAAGAAGAGACAGCATATGACTTGGCAAGGTTTTAATGACGAAGCATTGAAGAAATTTTCTATTGGTAGAACCTAAAATCCTTATGAACAACTAGCAGGATTAAGGCAGGCAGGTTGGGTGGGGGAATTTGTGCAACAATTTGAAATGTTATTGGCACAAATAGGTGAAGTACCAGAGGAGTCAGCTTTGAGATATTTTATGAATGGTTTGAATGATGTGATTAGAAAGGTGGGGACTCATGACCCTCAAACTATAACCAGAGCAATTTTTGGTTAGGAGAGCTGAGAATGAAATTTATGGAGAAACCACGGGTTCTGTTCTAGAGAACAATTCAAAGGGGCTTGTTTTTGGATTGGTGAGATGTGCAGGCAAAGGGACAGTTTTAGAACAGTTGAAAAGGCCAAGTTTTAGGTGTGAAAGTATGGGATTTGGCTGATCAGCAATTTCTAGGAATAACCCAATCAGTTTGGGTGTTAACCATAGTCAGGATTCACAACCCAGTCATCTAAAATGGATGCAATTTCTTTATTCCTGGTTTGAGCTTGGTGGATTGCAATGCATCAAATTCATAACACCTACCATAGAGTATGTCAGGAGAAGAGAAGAGGAGTGATTTTGTTGTCTATATGGCTAGAGAATATAGAGTTCACAGGAATTGTGTGTTTGATACCACATTGACAAATTTATTTATAATCAAAGAATAACAATAATTAAGGGGGAAAATCCCTACAAATCAGCTATACAAAATAATATCAAGTTTCACTATTTACAATAATTAAAGTGTGATCTTTTACACTCCCCCTTAAGCTAGAACATATGTCATATGCATCAAACTCATAAATATAATCAACGCAAGACCCTTGAGAGAGTTAGTGAACATAGCTTTTTAGTTGGTCATAAGAACTGACGATGGCAGTGGTGATTTCTCTTGAGAGTACTTCCTCTTTCACAAAATGACGATTTACCTTTGTGTTTTGTCTTGCTCATGGAAGACCGGATTAGATGCAATGTGAAGAGCAGGTTGATTTCGCAAATGAGCTTAGTATTCTGAGTGACTCCAAACTATAATTGTTGGAGAAGTTCCTTAAGCCATGTAATTTCACATCCAGCCGTTGCCAAGGCTTGATATTTGGCTTCAACACTAAATCTAGCAACTGTATTATGCTTCTTGATTCTTCATGAGATCAAATTTTCTCCAATAAGAACACAATTGTTACAAGCCGATGGTGACTCTGTCTAATATGCATCTAAGTAACAAACAATTTTGACATTGCATTTGTCTTTATATAAGAGTTCATGACCTAGCGCATTCTTGATATAAATGTGAAGGTATATGCATTAGAAAATCCCAATGGCTATCACAAGGGGGATTGAGAAATTGTCTTACCACGCTTACTATAATTGTGATGATTGGCCCGATGAGAGTGAGGTAATTGAGTCATACCAACAAGGATGCAATATCTTCCCAAGTCTCTAGTGGCTCCCCATGACCTAGAAGAAGCTTAATGTTCGGGTCCATAAGAGTGTCACTCGGGTGGCAATCAAGCATACCAGTCTTGGTGAGAATATCTAGAGCATATTTTCTTTTGGAAATGGCAATGCTAGAGGTGGATTGGACAACCTTAATGCCTAAAAAATATTTGAGCAAGCCAAATATTTTGTTTGAAATTGACTCTAAAGGTGAGATTTGAGTTGGCAAATACCATCAAAGTCATCACCAGTGATGTTAATGTCATCAGCATAGACCAACAAATGAATGCACAAACTAGATAGAGTGAAGGGAAAAAAATAGAGTGATCAGTCACACGAGTCATACCAAACTAAAGTAAGGCAAAGCTAAACCCAATTAAACTAGGCATGTAGACTCGAGGAGACAGACAAGGTGAAATCCACCATAAATAGTAAAATTGGGGGGTTGATCCATGTATACCTCTTCTTGCAACTCACCATTTAGGGAGACATTTGTAATTTCTAGTAGGTGAAGTGTCAATGGTGAATGATAGCCATTGCAAGAAAGTGAGAAACAGACAAACAAACATGATATTGGCCTTACGAGAAAAGTTGTACACATAGTCGAGACTAAATATTTAAGTATAGCCCCCAACCACCAAGTGAGCTTTGAATCGACCAATATTGTCATCTAGTCCAACCTTCACTATATAAACCCAATGACAATGGACAATAGTCTTCTCAGGAGGCAAGGGAACTAGCTCCTATGTTCCATTTGCCTGTTGCCAATGGGATCAGTCATGTTTCACTTGTAAACTTGGGAATAGACATTGAATCTGAAAAAGAAATAAAAGAGAAATATGAAGGAGATAATTGGTCACGATGAAGGGTACAAGTATATAAACGGTGAGGATTGTGAGAGGGTCAAATACCTTTGCATAGGGCAATGGGAAGCTCAAGTGCATGAGACATTGGTGGAGGGACGAGTGGAGTAGGAGACATTGGTTGGAGGTGGGCGCCAGCGAAAGGAAGCTGGGATGGTTGCTAAACAGTGGTAGTCAGCGTCACATGGTGTTGTTTTTATGTTTCTTTGCTTGATGGACCAACCACAAAACCTGAGGAAGTTCTCAAATCTAGGAGTATTATCTAAAATGATCAGCAAGTTCCACATGTTCTTATTAAGTAGGCATCTCAACCAATAGCTGAGGCAACTGAAAGGATAAGGATACCGTGTCCAGGGACAGTTTCCATAATTTAACCTTGAGGACAAGGTTGCTTCTATACTGGGAGGCATTGATAGGCCAAATTCTGATAGGTCTCTGAAGGTTTATGTCAGAAAAATTAAAGGCAGTTATTTATGTATGAGGCAGTTATGTTTTCATATGGGGTAGTAGGCAGTTATTTCTACGTGTATTGGTTGTATGTTTGAGAGAGAAGAACTCTCTGTTAGGACTTAGGCCTGTGTTTGTGGAACTGTCTTCGACCCAAATTTGTTATCAAGAAAACTATACTATTTGTGTGTGCAATCTTGAGTCTAACTAAATGTATGTAGAATAATACCTTCTCATGGTAAAGCAAAAATTTTATGATGTGTTTATTTGCTTTAGATCTGTGTGGTGTGGGTGTATGTATATGTTCATATACTCTCCATTTGTTTCTTCCCTTCCACCTGACATATTTCTGTTATCTTGTATCTGTAGTGTTTTGACTTTGACAACTTCATTAGTATGAATTCAAAAAGGCCATCCTGGCGCTGCCCTCATTGCAATCAGTATGTCTGTTATGCAGATATTCGTCTTGACCGAGTCATGGTTGAGGCAAGTTGATTTACTTTATTAATCCTTCAATTGAGTTACCTGTTGTTTAACCTCTGACACCTAGAGTAGGTTTGGTGGTTGGTATCACCTTTAGATTGGGAGTGAAAATTTTGGTTTACAGTTTTTTATATTCATCTCTTACCACCACCACTCTTCCAAATTTTAAGGGTACACCAATTTGACCCTGGGGATTAATGAAAGGTTGAAAAGGAAAGGAAATTAAAAATAAACCTCTAATTTTTTTTTTCCTTTTTAAATAAAGATCCTGAAAAATGTTGGTGAAAACATTACGGAAGTGATTGTCCTTGCTGATGGATCATGGAAGGCAGTCTTGGAAAAGGATCGTGATGTGGATAAGATGCAGAACAAGGCCCCCAATTGTGAAAAGGAACAAACTGAGCCGCAAGAATCTACTTGCTCTCCTAGTACTGTTGACCTCACCAAAGATGATGATTGTTTGGAGATAATGGACTCTTGTGAAATTGCAGATAGAAAACCTTTCCAGGCATCTGTTCATAGTCAGTTTGTTACCCCAAATTCAACTTCCTTGGGTATGAACTCTACTGGTATTAATCAAAATGTTGCCGCCCAAATAGAAGATGACTTTTGGTCTGGAATTTATGTTACCGGTGGTTCTGAGCTACCTGTTCTTCCTGATACTGTTTCTCCTGCATTTAATCAGGAACCTGCAGGTCGTGACAATAACCCTGTTGTTAACTCTGCCATGCACAATTCATTTTCGGCAACAAACAATTTGCAGATGCAGTTGAATCACATGAATTCGGTTAATGAGTATGGGAGGTCATCTTCAATGCCAAGAATTAATAGGACTCCGGTAGCTGTTCAGGCCCTCCCTGTCCAATCTCAGGCATTGGGGCCACAGCAAAATTCAATAACTAATTTGAATAATTCCGCTGCTACTCCTCATATTAATTTGTCTAACCCAGCCTCTGTAGATGCTATCAGTGCCATACTGAGTGATACGGAAAGACAGCAACATTTTTCTCGATCCCCAAGGAATCTGCCTCAGGTCTCGGGAGTAAATTCAACTGCATTTCAGCATCATTCTGCAACACAGGTTTGTTCTGTTTGTACTATATTATTACTCTATTTTTTAGCGGGTGTTTTGGGGATGCTTAGTGTATTTAATCTGTACCTTAGTGACAACTTGGTGTTCTATCTTGTTCCGTAATTTTGTTTGTTGAATCTGTTGATATATTGTGGTACCTTTAACGGAAAACATGACAGCTGAAACACTCAATCGTGAAAAAAAAAATGTGCCCAACTTAATTTGTTTAAAATTTTTTTTTAGTATTAACAACAATAGTTATGTTGTGAAATGAGACTCGTGAATGAACTGGCAATCTCTTTTATCAAAATTTCTTAAAAAAATCAATTTGCGACCTTGAGGTTTCACTTTATAAGTGATTAGATGTTCCTCTTACAGCTTAAAATAAGTGTAAATAATCTTGTAATCATATACCATTGAAAAATCATGAATAGTTTAGTCTGTCTTGCTTTTGGATTAATGGGGTTAATTTTTTATTTTTTATTTCCAAAAACAAAAGTCAGCGGGGAGTAAGAAAATTGGTTCCATGAAAGAATGATATAATGATACTATCTCAGTTTCTATATAAGAAACAAATATAGTATTATTTTGATTCTATTAATGAGTCATCCACTTTTTTTTATATAATAAAAGTGGGTTTATTTTCTGGGCTTTTAAGTTAGACTCATTTGTTGAAAAAATATTTCTTGATTAGAGTAGCGTTATTAAATATAACTACTACTTGCACCATTTAACTCATTTTTGGAATAAAATTTCAAATTATAACATTATTAATTAAAAGTAAATAATTTAACTACTTTCATTAGTATTAATAAATTATGTATTTGTTTCTTATATATAAGAATGGAAGTAGTATTAATTTATCTTCAGAGGGAAACCTTTACAGATTTGAGTATAACCTATTATACTTTATATCATTTGTTATTCTTCATATCTTATGCTGTAATACTCATTGATGTCTATTATTAATTTATTTCACTATAAAGTTGAAAATAATTTTAAGAACCTTAGTTTTATGTGTTAATTTGTGTCTACTGCTCTTGTACTTAACTTTTATTTTTCATATCAGAATCGGGTACCACTAGTTAATACATCAGCATCAACTCTATTGCAGAACCCATACAGAGGTAGGTCGTTTTCTGAATTTAAAAATCCACATCTGCAGCAAGCTCTGAATCCTCGGCCGCCTCAACAGCAAGCTCTGAATCCTCGGCCGCCTCAACAGCAAAGTCTGAATTCCCGGCCACCCCAACAGCAAAGTCTGAACTCTCGGCCACCCCCACCAACGAGATCATCTAATGATAGCCAATGGTCCCACATTCAGCAAGGTGTCTCACAATCTGGGATTTTTCAGAGTGCCATAGCTGCTGCACCAGGTGCCAGACAAGGTGGTTCCCAAGGTAGGAGTGTTCCTACAGCTGGAACTAGGTCTATGGTTTCTAACCAGCCAGCCAGACCATCGCCAGCAGTTTCAGCTCAAAATCAAAGTACCGTCACAAGCACATCTTTTGCAACTGACAGTTTCCAGAAGTTGACAGGAGAGCAAAGAGGAAATCCACCACAGGCCGTTTCTAGGCCTGATGAATTATTCAGTATGCAAGCAGAACAAAATTGGGTTCCCACTGGACGAATGCGTGGAAGTCTAGATTTAAGTCAGCATTATGATGATTCAATTACGCAGCGAATAATTGCACCAACACAACAACAACAACAAAATCAAAGTTCAAGGCAACATGTTCCACAACCTGTCCGACGGATCAGTGGGCCGTCCCAACTGGATGTGCTTACTGCAAACAATAGAAATGCAAATGCTCATAATCGTTCTTCCAGTAGGTAACACTTCTGCAAGGCTTCACTTGCACATGTTTGGAAGACTTCAGAGAGCTGCACTTCAACTTCATCTGTTGTAAATAAAGTTGATGAAGTCAAGTTAAAAGAAAGGCAAGGAAGAAAGAATTCAAACAAAGCATGACTTTCGGTACGATATCTGATTTGGGGGAGGACACCCATTTTATGCACGCGGCCTGTGTTGAGCGGGATAAATCACATTACAAATTGAGACTTTGATTAGGAACCAAGTTATCTTGTAGCAATATATGGGAAGTTACTATTTTGACTAACAAGACAGATATTCAAGGTTTGCTTTTTCTGTTCCATAAATATTATTTCAGACAACTTATTCTTATTTTCATACTTTCGTAATGTGTGAATGATAAATTTTAAAATTTTTGGAATTTGAAATCTTTGAAATTTGGAGAGGAGAGATGGAGCGAGAAGAGAAAAAAAAAAAAGTGAGATAAAAGTGTAAATGGGAGAGGTCAACTTAGTGTAGTATGACTCTTAAGTTTAAATTATATTGTTGTTATTGTAATTTTTATTAATAAAAAAATGAGGATAACAATTGAGATTCAAGTAAAATTAGAGTGATGCATAACGAATGATTTTATTCATTATAAGAAAATAAAAATTACATGTACAATAACAAATCTTAAATGTATTAAAATGTTAATTTTTGTTTCAATTATTGAAATTACTTATTTAAGTTATTTTACCTTTATTTTAGAGGATTCAAATCATTCTTTCTCATTTATAGTTGGTCAGTCCCTCATACATGTATGTCCATGCAACCTTTGTGATAACAAAAAATGACAATCATTTGTTTCCTTAATTTCCGGTAGTTTGTTTTGAACTTATGTTACATGTAGAGATGATTATTATAACTGGTCATAAAAAAACAATTATAACTATAATTAATTAATTTTATAATAATTGAATAATTTTAAAAAGTTATAAAAAAAATATTATATGATTTGCATATTAAACGTATTGTGTTTTTCTGTATTTTTTAAAAAATAAATAAAAGTGATTGGTTAATAATAAGAGAGTTAACAATTTTTAGATAGTTGCGGTTATAAAGAGTTTTTGAAAAAATAGGAAAGAAACAGTAATTTAAGAAAAAATTTTAAGGACAAAATTGTTCAAAAATAATGTGGACAATGAGATAATTTTCTTTATGAATTGTATAGATAAGTTATTTTATAACTAAATCATAACTGGTTTTTACTTCTTATTATGAATTTTAAATTTGAAAATATGGTTATATATTAAAAACCGGTTATTTAACTAACAAACTTAATTTTGAAAATTGAAAAAAAAAAGTTTTAACTTTTAAAATCAATGCATAACATAAATTTTTATTTTATGTAACTAAAATTTAAATTTTTTTAGTAAAACTAGAATTTAAATGAGTAAATTTTTTCTGGGAAGTGGAACGGGTTCCACTTCCCAGATTCGCGCAAATTGGGCCACAAACTAAAATAAATAAAAAAAATTGAAATTACTCAGAATTCGATTTTCCAGGAACCGAATTCTGAGCACAAAAAAAAAATTTGAAGTTCAGAATTCGATTCCCCAGAAACCGAATTCTGAGTGTGTACAGTAAATAGTGTTAGATGTGTAAATAAAGTTGAACAGATGCCTTTTTGGTAATTTTTTTAAAAAAATTCTATAACCATAAAAAATTCATCATTTGTCATTTGTTACTGTAGTTATCATATCATATTAATGATTTAAATAAAATCAATATAAATAATGAATTTGCATCTTGCATATGCTTGCTAAGATTGTCAATGATAAATCAACATGTTAATTAATAACATATATTTTTATATTTAACAATTGACTTTTAATTATAATGGAAGATTTTGCAATTAGGTGTAAATAATTTAAATTTGACTTGAAAAATAGGTGCTTTATATCTTCACTTATTCAATATCAAAAAGAAAAAATAATTTATTTTAAAACACCTGATCAATATTGTAAAAAATAAATTGATAAACACCAATGATACTAAGTTTATTAAGACAAACGGATAAAATCCCCTAACTCGTAATATATATTTTATTATGAGTTAATCACCTATACACTACGAGTTTAACAATAACATGACACAATTAAAAGATCTAATTAGTTGTCAGTGTAAAAAAACTTTACACTGACAATGTATAGGTGAACTTTTATTATATCAGGAAAACAACCCTGTAATAATACATTGTGAGATAATACTAATATTTTAAATTCTTTGGAGGTAAAAACATGAATATATATTTATAATATATATATATATATATATATTCATGCTAAAACTAATTTTACTTTTATTGAACATTTTGTAAACCACGAGTTATTTCATATTTAAAAATCATGATTCGTTAAATTATAAATCTTGAAAAGTCAATTATTCACAATCATAAAAATCTATTTGATTTAACAAATAATTCTGAAAATGTTTTCAAACATTATTTAAGAATAAATTTTTTATTAAATAAACAAATAAAATAACATAACATTTTTACTATATTAAAATTTTATTTTTTAGCTCAAGAAAGTTAATTTTTGAATCTTCCATTAAAATATTTTCATGAGAAGTTTATAAATAAAAAAAACCATGATAAAAAAATGTTTTCTACAAAATTTTTTTTAATAGCAAACTAAACACAAGGAACTAACATCTTTGACATTAAATTTCTGAAAAAATAAAAACTTTTCAAGCTCCACACACCCCCTAAGATATAAGAATTACATCCTAATCTGTCACTTCAAAAGGGCATATCATGATACACTGCCCGCTATTCAAATAACACGGTCCATGGGTATAGATGGCTGCATATATGGAACATTTTTGTATATGCTGATCTTCATACTCGATATTTCCAAAATGTAATTCACCAAAAATAAATAAATAAAAACTAAAAACATCCGACTTTCACCATGTTTACCATTAATTATATCAACATATACCAACAAAATAAAATCCACTTCCACAGCAAATGTAAATTAGGTCATTCTCCCAATAAAATAATTTCTCTAGCACGAATAAAAATATTAATAACAAGAATAAGAGATTACAGAATTTCTTTTCCTTTTTGCATTATTTGGGAGGGGACGAAACTTGGAACTGTCACAAGCATCACAGCATAAATGAATCACTACTCCCATTTTTTCAACTCCATACCATCTGGAGGACTACCCTCCACCTTCTTTGATCCCACTTCCTTCCAATCAGTTGATAGCACTGTTCCATTTGACTCCAACTACAAAATTCAAGAAAGGAAAAGGGGAAAAATTTTATTTGTTTCAAAAACTAAGCACAATATTCTCATGAATTAAGCAAGCACAACATGAATATCTTACAAAAGACTTGCTCATTGCTCTCCTCATGTCCTCATCTGCATTTTGGTAAATATCACGGAACAATTTATTCAAACCAGCATCACCGTCAAGCTTTTCTTCTTTCTCCTGAAAGGCAGACCACCATTACGTCAATATAATTTAAACGGTTTCATGTTCCACAAGACGGAGGTAGTAAGGTACAGATTCTGTTTGACCTTGATGTATACTCTTCTAATTTATCATTATAAATAAACAAATATTAAGTAGCTTTACAATTCAGGTCCTCCAGTTTAACCAAAAGTTAGAATTTGGTCCGCGTCCGATTTAAGTCCTAAAGTTTTCAAATTAATAGAAACACTACCCCCATCCATCAGCATGCCAATGATTTGGACTCTTATTGCTGGTAAGGAATTGAGACACACCATCTCGGCGTCATAAAGGTAATGCACAACAATCAAAATTAAAAATACAATCATATTAGCGAAGACATTCCCACAATTACCACTTTTGCTGACAACTATTTTTGTTAATATACAGAGTGATGACGAACAAGCACCCAAAGAAAGTTAATTTTTGCATGTTAAAAATTAAAAAATAATTCTAAAATTAATATTTTTCTAAAACCATGGGCAACATCGTAAAATTGAAACTACAGGATAAAAAGGAGCTTCAATGAAATTAAGCCTAAATTATCCCAAAAAAGGGGGGGATAGCTGGCAAACCTCTTTCTTCACTTGAGCTTCCAACTTATCCCAATCTCTTGTCCTTGGTTTTGATGATGGGTATGCAGGCCTTTCAGATTGAACTGCTTAGATACGCATTGGGAGTAAGGTCATCATCAGGAAAGTAATAGAATCAAGTTACATTCTCATTTATTCAAATAAAAATACAAGGATCAGCAAAGGTTTTACAAAAGGATAAGTTACACCTCACCTATAGGCTTATTTATTTTTGTGGGGAGAATATCCTTGCTATATTCCAGAGATGCCCAATTAATATCTTCAGCTTTCGCAAGTCGGATTTCAATTTTGGTTGACAACACCTCAACTCTGCAGTTATTGGGTATTATCTGTTTTGCTCATGCAGAAGGAAAAAGGTTAAGTTACTAAGAAATCAATAATGAATTTGGATATTGAAGTTAAGTTACCATATGCAAATGCCCAAAGCAATACATTAAAATCAAGCAGTTGCTTCCTAATTAACAATCACTCCCAGAGTCACAGACACTAACATTAAAATAACACCAGCCCTCATTCTGATATTTTAAAGTAATGTATGAATATACAGAAAATAAAGGAATTCATTTAAAAAAAAAAAAAAGAGAGCAAATTGAATGCCTTGCTAGTATCACAAAGATAATTCTATTGGATAAAATTCTTGTTCGATCATGTTACATAGTTATCAGTTAATTGAGTTTGAATGTTCAAAATAAAAGAATTCATTTCATTTAACGAACAAATTCTTGTATGAAGCTTGTTAAGAAGAATATTAATTTACGAATTCAATTATATAAACCAATGTCACTATATTAAGAGATTTTTAAACCAATTTACTCCAAATGTCTACATGACAGTGAAATAAGCACACAACCTCAATGTAGATAAAGTAGCATATTTTTGTCACGGAAGTGTCAGAAAATGGAATCTTTTGTATGAGATTTTCAAGAGGATAGCATGACACCAAGCAGTTACCTTCCCAAACAATCGAGGTTGAAAATGATAGGCATCTTGGCCAGGAACATCAATAGTAACACTAAGCTGTAATGTTAAAGTAGCTCAAGTTATCTGAAGAGTTATATATGTAAAACTTGAAAAAATCAATCAAGGGTAAAAACAAAGCATCCATTATATAAACCTACAATCTGTTCACCGAAGTCAACAACCACATCTTTTGCTGATATTCCTTTTGCAAATATTGTCACAACCACTTCTTCTGGCTTCTGGTAGTATTCATGTCTGGTTAAGCACAATCAACAGGTAACTAGATAGTTGAGGAAGCATTTTAAACATACAAAGAAATATGCATAAATACAAGAGAGACAGACATAGCAAAAAAAACACAAAATTCAATTCACATTTTTGACATTGTCACGTGACATATCAACAGAATATCCCAAAGACTACTAGACCTTTGTGCATGTTTGATAAGCACTTTTTTATGGAGGAAATAATTATAAGAAAACTATCCCAGGAAGATTTTAATTAAAAGATTTATTTTTATGGTCCCACAATACACTTAATCAAAGCATGAACCTAGTGATATGATTATTGAAACATAAATTATCATTCAATATGTTCTTGTTTCCTATCAATCATCTCCAGGGGAGTTGTAAGGATTTTTTTTTTCAATATGGAAGAAAAAATGAGAAGACTGAAACAAGTAATACTTTTTTCCACAGAATGTAAAGTTGTGATGCCAGTTACACTTTTCCATACAGAATCTAATAAGTCAAGAAATAACTGGATTAAAGAAAGACCAGTGAAAACCTGTATTTTGGTCTGTTTAGTGCAACTTCATTGATTTGGGATACCAAACTGTCTGCTTCAACTTCTTTAGCCACCCCATCATTTGTATTGCTCAAATGGGAAACATTACCAGACGGTACAGATGTTACAGACCCATTTGATGATAAGGTGCTGGAAAGACCACTTGATTCCTCTGGTAAATCAAGAGACATGATACAAGAAAGCATGAGAAGCATAATTTTTCAGTTAGAAAAAGTTGCTAACAGCAACCACTAGCAATATCATAGTGTATAAGCAAATTAGTACCACTCACTCATTATGCCAGCCATACAATACATAATATGTGAATTTCTCACTTGACTATCTAATATCTTCTTATTGTTTTTGTCGATTGACATATTTATGGCAACATCCTAAAATTGATAACTAATTACAAGAAAAAAGATTATTGCTACTGCAGTTTAACCGACTCATTCAACGTGAAATGCAGTTGAAGCATAAATAAAAGGAGAAGGTGTGGGGACCTGACCTGCAATACAGCGATCGCATTCTTGAATGAGGTTGGCGAATCTGGAATCGTCTTGGGCAAAAGCGGCACCGCATTGAAGCGCAACCTTGGCAGTGTGGTACTCTTCGAGTTTCATACAAGCGGTGCTGCAAATAGCGTAATGAATAATGAGAATCTTGAATTGAATTGAATTGAATTGAAAGAGAGAAAGAAGAGAGAACAAACCCCTTGCGAAGATAGGCCTTGGACAAGGAAGGGTTTAAGTGGATGGCTTTGTTGGCATCGGAAATGGCTTCGGTGAAAGCGTTGAGCTTGATATGGGCTTGGGCCCTGTCGGCGAATAGATGGGCGTCGTTGGGGTCCAATTCAATGGCTTGAGAGTAGAGATCAACGGCGAGAGCGAAGTCGTCGTCGAAGAATGCTTCTTTGGCTTTCTTCTCGAGTTCCTTCGCCATTTCGTTGACGTGCTTCCACAATATTCTTCTCAAATAAATCCGCAGCAGGGTTTGTGTTCTAGACCCTTCTCTTCTTCTCTTAATTCCTTTCCTCCGCAATCCGCAATCCCCAAACTTATTTCTATCCAACCGCACTTTTGCCTTCTCTTCTTTATACCTTTTCACCACACTCTCTTAACACACTTTTTACTTTATATATTCTATTTACCACCAAACCTCTCTTAAATTTAACATTATTATGATCTAATATTTCACATAATTTGTTGTATTTTCATTTATTGTGTATTTAAATTAGAATTTTAAAATTTTATTGACCAATTATAATTAAAACATGTTAAATTTAATTACTTAGATAAATATCTTAATAGATAGTTAGATTTGGGTTAGTAAGAAATTGGTTTAATTTTTTTTTTTTTTATACCTTAATTATTTTCTTCTTCTCTTGCTATTGCAAAATCGCAGTTCGTATATTTACTAAAGTGTGTAGAATTTTTGTTTTTTCTTTCTATCATCTTCTAAGCCCAAAACGCACACCCCAGCCCAAATCTGCATTGCACCACCAACAGAAATGTATGCTCCTTATATGTATATATTTCCTCTCAGCCCATGTAACATCTAGCCCGTAGTGAGTTTTAAATACTGTATTGAATAGTTGGAGATACTGTTTTGTCACCTATAATTACCTCTGTTTATTTGAGTCGAGGGTGATGATATATACATCACATATTTTTCATAAATACACCTCTAATCTTTTTTTTTAAATAAAATTCTTAAAATATTCATCTAACTAAATATGATTATGTTGATTGAAATGTTAATTTTAGCATTACGGAAAGTATTTTCTAGAATAGTAAAATTATTGTTCCGAAAAGTATTTTCTGGAAGTGTGTTTCTTATATAATTCTGGAAAGTTCTTTTCAAACATTAAATTTAGTATTCCGAAAAATATTTTTTGAAATTATGTAACAAACACACTTCCGAAAAATACTTTCCAAAATAAAAAATTTACTATTCCTAAATGTACTTTTCAGAACAAAAGCTTTATTATTCTGGAAAGCAATTTTCGGAACAAATAGTGAGAATAAATACTTATAGGAAAAAATGTATATGATTTGACACTTTTTCCTTCGACACTAAACCCGTTTACAGCTTATAACAAAATCAAAAAGGAAAGAGGATAATGCAAAAATTAAAAAGGGAAGAAGGGGAAGTAAGGAGGTGCAGAGAAAAAAGTAAAAAAGAAGAAACGAGGTGTACAAAGAATAAAAAAGAACGGTGGCAAGAGTAGTGTGAATCTGAAAATTTATTAATTAAAAAAATATTAAAGATAATTTAAGAATTTAATATTTTTAAAAAAAAGGGAGTGTATTTATAAAAAAATGGAAGTGTGTATATTTGCCTTGAGTGGATCGTTGAGTCCGTTGGTAAAACCCACAAATGGAGTCAAGAAGTGATACTTTTCGGCCCGATCTTTTTGGTCTGATAATTTAAGTGGGTCGGGTGAAACTTGTCCAATGAATTTTAAGTTGACCTAAACTAATATCTATATCAATAAATAAAAAAATACTAAAATTTTTAACTATTTTTTCGTCAAACATTGTTATCATGATTATTTTACCTTTGAAAACTTCTAATCATTTATTTGTACTGTTCAATTTTTTTTTCTTCCAAGTTATCATCCTCATATGTTATTCAAATCTAATGTATCTGTTGATCTACTATACACGATCCTACTTTTTCTTTTTAATTTTTTTTATCCATAATACGGTTTATAAAATATATAATTAAGAGTTAATCTATGCCGGAAAGATGTGATTTTTACTAACAAAATATTACTTTTTATTTTAATGTGAAAGTATTATATTTTTTTCATTTCATCCTTTTCTCTTTCATTCTTTATTTATATTTTAAAAAAATTATAAAGATGCAAAATACATTTTTTTCATTAGTATAATGTAATAAAAGTAAGTAATATATAACTATACAATAATAATAATTTTAAATAATTATTAGAAAATAGACAATGAGACTTATGTTGACATTGTGATTTACAGTTTATTTTAGTTTATCATAAAATAAAATAATTCTTTATAGAAAATATAAATATTATATAACCATATATGAGATTTTATTTTACTTTTATATTAGCACATAGTTCTTTCTTAACCGACTATTTAAAATAAAAAAATAAAAAAAAACAATTGACAGTTTTTAATAAAAGAACAACATAATTAAATAGTTATTATTATAGATTGTCCAAATTTAAATGAAAAAATAGTAAATCGGAGAGTTAATATAAAAAAGATTTTTTAGTGATTAGGAACTCTACACTACAATCATCATTGTATAAATGGTAATAATTTGTGTTCTTTAATTAAGTTATTTAAGATTCAATTCTGCATCTTAAGTATAAAATAGACGATATTAAAAGAAAAAGTCATTTTGTACATTTATAATTTTCAATGAAAAATAACCACTACTTCAATATTTTACATCAATACTATAATAAAAATAAATAAAATATCACCACACTACGTTAGATAACATACTACTTCCATATTTTACATCAATACTATAATTAAAATAAATAAATAAATAAAATATCACCACACTACGTTAGATGACATATAACTAGATTTAATTAGGAGGTGGCATTAGGTCTGCATATTTACTTGTGTGTCCCTATAGGAGTAACTAACTAACTTTTGAGCGTTAGTGTCGCATCTTTTTATATAATCTACAATTTTACTATATATGATGTGCTATTTACTGGCCTAAGAATTAATGTCAAATTAATAACATGCCGCATAACTTTTTTACCGCGAGAAAATAGTGCTCATTTTTTATTTTACAAATTTTACAAGTCAAGAATCAAGATGATGTCTTTATCATAACTATTATTTTAATTTATGTAATATATAAACATACTTATTACATATAATTAAAATAAATACACTACAACAAAATTCATTTTTACCGACAATTATTTACCGACAATAAATTAATTGTTTTTGTTTTATTATTTAATAAAAGTATTAGTGACTAATATATAATGATCACTAAAAATATATTTATATTACACAAAAATTTATTATTAGCGACAATTATTTATTAAGAAAAACCTTAGCCTTAGCCCCACATCGACTAGAAATAAGATAATTAAAGAGTATATAAATGAATAATAACTCTCACCTTACAAGTTTGTTATGCAGGATTGAGTTAGACCTATAACTTATTATTTTAAATTAGTATGAGATTACTCACTATTATCAAACTCAATAATCTTTAAACTTAAGGGGGTCGACTATTGATCTTAAAGTCCCACATCAACTAGAAATAAGGTAATTAAAAAGAATATATAAGTAGAAAGACAACTTTCATCTTACAAGTCTCACATCAACTAGAGATAAAGTAATTATTTATTTGTACTCATCTTAAAGTCTCACATCGACTAGAAAGTAAAAAATGACACAAAAAGATATACTTTTTTCGACCATTATAAGGGTTTTTAGTTTTTACCAGCATTTTTAATAATTGTCGCTAAATGTTTTAGCGACACTACATACAATGGCTAATGTGAAAATGCCGGTAAAAGATTTTGTAACAATTTTTATTGCCACTAAAAATCATATTAAATGTCACTAAAAGTCTATTTTGTTGTAGTGATAATATATGAAATATAAATAAATATTATATTTAAATATGTAGATTATATATCAATTATATATATATATATATATATATATTTTTTATATAGATATAATATATATATATATATATATATATATATATGTTACACCAAGGTATAAATATTCAACCTCAAGTATCAACATATGATATAAGGCACAACTTAATCATCATATAACATGTCATAAATTCCACAACATTATACATATTCAACTTGTAACAACACATATTTATAAGGTAATCCAAGCTCGACACCATTCTTCCTGTGCTTGACGTGAAATGAGGCAAAAAGTCTCTAAATCACTCATGCCCGATGCAGATAAGGTAGAAAGCCCCTGTTATTCTCATACTTGGCATGACCAAAACCCACGCCCAACTTCATTTTAGGTATAGAGTCTTTGCCTAACTCATATCCAACGTCACCATACTACACCCGACGTCATCTAGGAAGAGAGTGTTATGGCTTGGCCATGTTGTGTAACGACCCGGCTGGTCACTACACACGGCACTGCACACAAGAAACACCGCACAGAAGAGAACAAATGTATACATATAGAGTCTAGAATATACATATACATGATCCAGTCTGAACAGAGTTAAAGTGTACAAAAGAAATTACAATCAAATGTTACTATCACAAGTAACTACACAGCAAAAAGATATCACAACAGAAATTAGCTCCACGGGTCCACCGGAGACTCACCACCAGACACCCACCTATCCCTGCTCTGCTCCCATACATTGTATGATCATTGCAGTCCAACATCATGGAGACAACAAAAGGGTAAACTAGTGTAATTAAAATTCAACATACAAATATATATCAATATAAATAAACAACAGATACAGTTATCAGCACACTTGTACAACTTATACCACTCAACAATATCAGCACCGCAATGCGGCAATAACAGCACCGCCTTAGCGGTTAGAATCAGCACCACATATGTGGCTAACAACAGCACCGACTTAGCGGCTATAATATCCCACAACTCAGCACAACCCAGCACAGCAATTCAACACAATTATTATTTTTCACAATTCAGCCCAACAGTCTATAATTCTGCTATACTATAAAATTTCACTTATTAATCCAATGATTTCAGCTCAACAATACACCTCTAATACAACTAACATATTTATCTCCTAGTCATCACAACATATTCATCAAATACAACATGGTTCAGCATATAACATCATTGATTTACGATCTCGGCACAATTCAACAGCCAACATCATATAGGTCATCATCTCCTTGCGCGCCCGGCGCACTCGAGGTCGCGCCCAGTGCGGCTTAACCCGAGAGCACCAGGACCAGCGCGCCCAGCGCAGGAGTACTCGCGCCCAGTGAGACTCAACCCGAGAGCACCAAGGCTCTCCCGCGCCTGGCGCAATTCCAAATTGCGCCCAGCGCCTGCCTGGCAGAGACTCAAGGAGTTTGGTGCGCTCAGCAGGGCCTAACCCGCT